ATCTATATATATATATATAGGAAATATATATAAATATTTGTAAAGGTATTGTGTATGATGCTGGTTGGCTTTTATGTAATATATTGTTTATATATATGTTTGTATATATAATATATATAATATACAATATACAATATACATAATATATAATATATAATATAGAATATATAATATATAATATATAATATATAATATATAATATATAATGTATATAATATATAATATAATATATAATATATAATATATAATATATAATATATAATATATATTATATAATTTATATTTTATATATAATATATAAAATATAATATATAATATATAATATATAATATACAATATATATAATATATATAATATATAATATATTATATATGTTTATATATTATATATTTATATATAATATTCATTATACCTATTTTATATATATATTTTATATATATAATATATTATATATATGTTTATGTACATATATCGTAATATATTGTTTATGTATGATTATGTAATAATAAGCACAGCAAAAGAAAGAGATACAAAAGAACTAAATGGGCTTCAGGACACAGGCTCTACAGCCAGCAGCTGTAGAATGACCCATGACCCCCTGCTGCAATTTAGTCTATGGAATAAACAGCATTTTTAAAGAAGAGTCATCTGCAGTCCCCATCTCCCTGTAGACTCTTACACGTCTGAACACTGGAAACACCAAAAATCGAAATAGATGGCTCCCAAAATGGAAAGAGTTTGATCAGAAAGCTGCCCCATGAGCCACCTTAGGCAGCCCCTCCTCCACACAGCCCCCTCCACAAGGATTCACTTCAGAGAGATTTATTTAATGCAATAAGTGGCCTTCTCCACTTAGCAGAATGCACTACTTATTTATGGTGTGGGGAGTCTTCCCTACAGCTTCCAGGGGAGCTCTCCCAGTCCCAAGCAGGATTTAAGCTCAGGGCCTGATTTCCCAGGGCTCTGCAGCACAAATAACACCAGGGATGAGCACAGCAATGGTGGAATAATCACAAGAGCTCACTTCAACCAAGGAAAGCCTGCTCAGACTCCCCTCCTGCACACAGGAACACACAGGGGATGATTTGGAGCAAACACAAAGCTTCAGCTCTGCACCTCTCTCCACTGCTATAAAAAAGTCATGAGGGAGTGGGTGCCTTTTTAAATCAATCCTTAATTGGCAATGAGACATTCATATTTAACCACTCAGTGTGAACTAGCTAAAGTCAATTTTTAATTTTTTTTTATTTTTTTGCATTGTGCTCTGCTTCTTATTTTGAGAGCCAGAGCTTCTATCTCATCCTTTCATTTTCAGAAAAAAAAGAATACAGGTATTTTTTAGGAGACCAGGATTTATTTGGCTCCATCAGAGTTATTCTAGCAAGCCTGGAATAAAAGAAGGAAGGAGAAACAGGGATCCCACGGGATCCTGTTTGTTGTAGCAGTGACTAATGCATTCCCTTAGATTTACATGAGGATCTCTGAATCAACATTTAACTTGATGCCCATCTGCTGCTGCTGGCTTTGTAAGTTTTATGTCTGAGATGTTCTGTGTTGAATTTAACTAATATTCTCCAGTCTCCTCACCTTTTACTGCAGAAAGAGAGAGCCCAGCCATGAAGGGACAGCAATTTTAGCAGGGATGTTTATTTTCACCCCATTTCCCTCCCCATCACCTGTTTTATGTGCCCTTAACTCCTTCCAGCCCTCAACATTTTCCAACCCAGCAGGGTGGAAGAGTCTGTGGTGTGAATTTCTGATTGGGGGGTGAAGTTGAGCATCTCTTTTTGAAACTTCCAGTTTCCACAACAGCAGAACTTGAATAAAAAATGGCTTTGTGTAGTTTTTTTGGGGAATGTCTGCTCTGGCTCAGGGAGTGGTTATTTCTTCTGATCTCAAAGCAGAGGAGGAATGAGGCACAAAGACATGGGGACCTGGCAGCTTTGGAGGACTGGTTGGAAAGTTAAGGGGCACAGAGGAATGAGAGGGCACAAAGGTCTCAAATCCCTGTGTTACAGGGCTAAACTTCGTGTCATGAACAATATCTGGTGCCATTTCATGGAAGCTGGAAAGGAGGAGAGTGAAGGGGCAGAAATACACTGGCATTTACATATTTAAAAAAATAATTATTTGCCTGGGAAATGAACAACCTTAAAACAGTGGGGAGTTAAGGGCAGCCTGCTGAACTTAAATAGCTTTCCTTAATATTTTTCCATAAACAAACGAGAGAAAAGGTCAGTCTGAAATTCATCAGGTTGCAGAGAAATTCCTTCTGAGGTCTCTGGCTCTGTCCAGCTCTGGAGCAGACGTATCAAGGCAACAGGAGCAGCCTAAAGAGGCCACAACAGGCTGATCTTTGCCTCTCCCACCAGCATTTCCCAGTGTTTCCACTGGAGAAGGAGAAGGAGAAGGAGAAGGAGAAGGAGAAGGAGAAGGAGAAGGAGAAGGAGGAGAAGGAGGAGAAGGAGGAGAAGAAGGAGAAGGAGGAGAAGGAGGAGAAGAAGGAGAAGGAGGAGAAGGAGAAGAAGAAGAAGAAGCAGAAGCAGAAGCAGAAGAAGAAGAAGAAGCAGAAGAAGAAGAAGAAGAAGAAGCAGAAGCAGAAGAAGAAGAAGAAGAAGAAGAAGCAGAAGAAGAAGAAGAAGAAGCAGAAGAAGAAGAAGAAGAAGAAGAAGAAGCAGAAGAAGAAGAAGCAGAAGAAGCAGAAGCAGAAGAAGCAGAAGCAGAAGCAGAAGAAGAAGCAGAAGAAGAAGAAGAAGCAGAAGAAGCAGAAGAAGCAGAAGAAGAAGAAGAAGAAGAAGAAGCCAGCCCCAGCTCCTCAGCAGCTGTACTCAGGCTGCAGGAGCATCTCTGGGAACTGGCTGAGCAGATTTTTGCAGTGCTGGAGTTGGAGCTGAGCGAGCTCTGGAAGAAGCTGTGATCCAAGGAAGACACAGCAAAGCCATACAAGGGTTGGGGAGCAGCAGAGCCCGACCCAGCCTCGTGTCACCTCACCCTGACCGAACCCAGCTGCTGCCTGAAGGGCCCTGCCTTGGTGTCCCCAAAGTGTCCCCGGGTAACCCAGAGCCATTTTCTGCTGATTTACTCCCCCTGGGCCTCTGGCCAATGTATTTCTCTGCTGAAATTTCATTTCAAAAGGGCGACTTTTGTGTTTTGGTTAAATTCATGAGTGGATTTGAAACACCAGGGATTAATTCAGCCGTTGCTCTGTACCCATTTTAGTACCAGAGGAGAAAAGCTCTTTTTCTATTGTTTATTCTTCATTCTTGTACAGGAATAAGTTCCAAATTGTGCAAAGTGACGTAAACATTTTTTATTTTTTTATTTTTTTTTCAGTAGTAAAGGGCTATCACATTATAACAAAACACATCAGAAAAGGATTTGGTCAGAGATTGCCTGCCCCTAATCCCTGCTCCTGTATTCAGTGGCAAGAACAGCAGAAAGGACAGGCTGGCTTCTAAATGCCACAGGCTTTCAATGCTGACAGGTATTTGCATAGGAATATAGCCTTTATCCTGGACATGGAAGTTGATTTGCATGGTTTGAAGTTGGCAGAAGTTGGATTTTATCCCGTGTAACCTCTGTGTCCTTTCTGTGAAACCTGAATCAGAAGCACTTTTGCTGGATAGTGCAAGAATAGAATTGGTAGCAAAGTTTCCTGAGACCCTCCTGGATAATGTCAGTGCAGCTCCTGCTCAGGGCAGGACTGGTGGCACATCTCTAAGGGCCTTACTGGCAAATTTGGAATAAAAAACATCTCCCCAAACACGGGAAAGAGCTTGAGTTGCTTTTTCAGATTATCTCCCTCTGAAACTGCCCGGCAGTGTTGTCTCCTCCCCAGACCGAGCTGCTTTCCTGCACCCAGCCTAAACCCTTTCGAGTCAGTGAGGAAGAGAAACTAAAATCCCTTTATAGATGTAAGATGCTCTTCTAAATTTCAGGTTTTGCACAGATGCTGGGCTAAGATGAGACAGTGGCCAAAGACATCAGGAAAGCTCAGTGAGAGCTGGAAACAAGCGCACCCCAGAAGCTGCCCCACAACTTTTACCAACAACAGCCCTGACATTTTTAATCCTTAAAGGATTTAACTTTCCAGATCAGCTTAAGAAGAAGTTTTTATAAACTGGGTTTGCTGAGAGCTGCTGGGTCCCTGGGGGGCTGCCAGGGCTGTGGTGCTGGTGTGGAGCTTTTGGAGGAGCAGCTTGGCACACATGGTGACTGCAAACCCACACCCCAAAAGATGCATCAGGAGTCCCTGCATGTGCAGGGCATGCACAAACTGAGGCTGGCTGTGCTTTCTAGTGCAGCTCAGCTTCTCATTCCTTCACTCCAGGGCTCTGCAAAGGGCCATCACGGCTTCTGGAGAGAGGTGGAGCAAGCACAAGCAAGAAGTGCTGAGGTCTCTTTTCTCTGTTTGGGCTCCTGTCACTAACATCCTCTGCCAGCCACACACGTGCATAACCACGGCTGGGGGTGATCATTTTCAGCCAGCAGTGATCCAGAGCAGTGCAAGGGAGCAGAGCTGCAATCCCTGCCCTGCACAATCTCATGTGTGGCAGCACGAGACGTGTCTTGGCTCCAACCCTGCCTGTGCACCCTCCAGAACCTGGCCAGGGCTGTGCATCCCTTGGCTGCTCCTGGCACCCTGAAACCCAGCAGAGTCTGCTGAAACCACTCTGTCAGCTGGGAGCTGCCAAGCTGGGGCCACTCATGTCTGCTGCTGAATTGCAGCAGCAGCAGCAGCAGCGGGGTTTCAAAAATGTGCCTTTAAACTGGTTCTGCCTTCTGCTGCTCAGTGCATTAAGCAGAGCATTAATAGATGTCCAAGTACTTAGCTAAAGAAGATGAATATCTATATCTATATCTATCTATCTGTCTATCCATTTATCTATCTATCTATCTATCTGTCTATCTATCTGTCTGTCTGTCTGTCTGTCTCTGTCTCTCCCTGCCATTGCTACACTTGTCGAGTGGGGAGGAAGGGGGATTTGCACCCTGCTCTAGACCTGGCACAGAGCTGGCTCCCCCTGTGTCTGTGTGCCGTGCCACCCCCCTGGAGCCCTGCGGAGGAGCCTGGCGCTGCCGGGATCCATTCCCACCCTCCTGCCCGTGCCCTCGCCCAGAGAAACACTCACGTCTCCAGCGGGATCCTCGTCTGGGCCCTGGCGCAGGGCGGGAGGCAGAGCGCTCCGAGCATCATCATCATCATCCCCATGCAGGGGACGGCGCCGGGCCCCGTCCCGCGGGCAGCCGCCATCAGCACGGGCTCGGGCCGCTGTCCCCGCTGTCCCCGCTGTCCCCGCTGCCCCGGGGCCGCTCCCCCGCCATGGAGCCGGCCCGGGAGCGCTCCCGCTGCCGCACCGAGCCCCGGCGGCTCCGCGGCCGCCTCTGCCCCGGGAGCGCCGCTCCGGCCGCCCGGCGCCGTCGGGGGTGTCCGGCCCAGGGCACCGAACCGGGGCAGGGAGCAGCACCCGGGGGTGGAAACCCAGGGGGGAGCACCCGGGGATGAACACCCAGGGATGAACACCCAGGGATGAACACCCGGGGATGAACACCCAGGGATGAACACCCAGGGATGAACACCCGGGGATGAACACCCGGGGATGAACACCCGGGGATGAACACCCGGGGATGAACACCCAGGGATGAACACCCAGGGATGAACACCCAGGGATGAACACCCGGGGGTGCGGAGCGGCTCCGAGCCCCGCAGCAGCCGCGGCAGGACGGAGCTCCGCGCTGGGAGCTGCAGCGGCTCCGTAATCCCCTGCCAGCCCTTAATCCCCTCGCCAAGCAGCAGCAGCCACAGATTTAGGGAAGTGGGGTGGGATAAAATCACCCGGGATTACTCTGATTTCTGAAGACGGGTCTTGGCTTCTCCAGCCGGAGGTCAGGCCGCGCTTGCTTTAAAAGGGTCACATCCGCATCCCCCAAAACCTCTTCCCTGGGCTTTGCTCTCTGCCTCCCCCACCTGCAGGATGTCTCAGCTCCTGTTATCCCCTGTCCCAGGGGGATTTGGGCCGGTACCAGGAGGTGGGGACAGCGGTGGGGCCCTGCCCAGGCCCCTGCCCGGGGCTGAGGTTCGCACAGGGATGGGCAGAGCCTTGGCAGCACCCAGGGCAATCTCCCTCCAAACCATGTGCGAGGGTCTGTGGCGAGGGCAGAGGAGGGAAATGAGCAGTGAGAAGCGAGAATGCCATGGAGGAAAGGGCCTGCATTCACCTCCTGATGTGAACAAATATTTATTAATGGCCAGACCTTTGGCCAACATTCACTTGAGGTTGCCCTCCCCTCGTCTGTGTCTGGAGAGCAATGGATCAAAGGAGCCCGAGCGCTGAGCTTGATGGGCAGCAGGAAGCTCCAAACTGCTCCCTCGGATGAGGGACACACTCTGGAAGCTCATTATCATCATGAGAAGTATGAATTATAAAGAACTCAAAGAGCATAAATGACTACAGCAACCTGTTGAACAGCTTGGCTCTGTAGCCTTGAATTAACCTGTTTATTGCAGTGCCTTCCAATGGTCTTCTGCACGTTCACAGATGGCTTGTTTAATGTAAAATGTGACATAAAATGCAAATGTTTCATGTAAAATGCAAATGTTTCATGTAAAATGCAAATATTTAATGTAAAATGCGACGTGAAGCTCAAAGCCACAATAGATTTTTAGGTTTCTCTAAGGACATGGAGAAGGAAACTGGCTGCCAAAGCACTGAAATAAAATTAAGGCCATTAGTATAGATGGCAGCTGTAGAGAAAATTAACTGTATCCCAGCCAAAAGCAGCACAGATGCACTTTAAATGGGATAATAGAAGTGACAGAGGAAATACTGAAAAGGGAATGGAACCAGGAAACATTGAATAGAGGTTAAATTGTATGATGAAGAGGCTGAAAGCCTGTGGTAAGGAATTAAGTTACTCCAGGAATAACTCACCTCAGGATAGGATGGTTTTGTCTTTTATTATGGTATTTGCTCTAGACTGAATGTTTTATTGAAAGCTACAGTCTTCTTCAAGCAGAAGCTCTGGGCCTGGAGGTGATAAATTTATGTTTTTAAGTTTGTGCAAAGGGTTACGTGGGGAAGTCAAAATGGTTCTTAAAATATATACATATAAAAAAAGAAAATATAATTTCCTACACAACAAACCCTGAAGAGACAGAGCCTTCAGCACATCTCATGGGTGCACAGCAGCTTTGGGAGGCAACAGGCAGAGCAGATCTGGGCCTGTGTAATTCACCTCTCTCAAATGGCCAAAATGTGCTGGAAAATAGGAGAAAATTGCTCTTGGAGGAGCTAGGAAGACTGAGAATGGAGGCTTCATTTGTCTGTGCTTGCCAGGATTAAAACTGAGGGGTGGCACGCAGGGTGACAGGCTTCCCTGTCTGGGTACATGAGGGAAAGAGAGGATAAAAATTCACATTCTGGAAAAAAAAATAAAAAACTGAAATGAGATCTGAAGGCAGGAGCATCAGCATTTTAGGTGACATTTTCTCTCCTCTTTGCAAGGAGCTGTACAAATTGTTATTGTGAGTGGTTTTTGCAGGATCTCCTCTGTAACCTGTGTGAAAAACGAGGTTCACATCATTTTTATAGAATTTAAAAGTTTAATAAAAAAAGACAATTAGGAGAAAAAAATAAAGTATACAGATAGGGCCGGGTGTGTCTGCATTCACCTCACTGACAAAGGATTGTCCCTTAAAAACAGAACCCTGCTACATATCCATAAATTCTCATTCACATTCAGACATTCTTCTGTGGATCTTTGGTGTTTTTCTGTTCAGTTTTCTCTTGCCCCCTTCCCAATAGATCAATCTTCTTTGCACCATCGAGATTTACATTCCCTGATACCAGAAATGCAATAAATTCCTCCCCCCCAGAGTTCTGGTCACTGCTGTCTTCATCTGGATAAATTTACAAATTTATTTTGTAAATAAATTTGTATTTTTAAATTTTAAAATACAAAAATATTTAAAAATTTTGTATTTTTATTTGTTTACAAATGCAGGAGTTCTCCAGCTATTTTTTTTTTCCTCAGTCTTTGGGTTATACAAACAAAAGCAGTTTTTATTTTAATGCTATGCTATAGCCTAACATATATGTATTATACTACTATCTCTAAATTTCATCAATAACAGAAATAAAGAAAACTATATTAATACAACAAAATTTCTCATTCTTATACACATAACATTCATCTTAATATTTGTGAAAAGCCAACAATATAAAATGTTTCTATAACACCTGTGTGTGCTGTTTGCATCTGTGATTAATCCAGATGGGTTCAGCCCTTGTCTGTTTGGTAACCCCTGAAATGTTGATGGAGAAGGCAATGAGACAGCAGCACTCTCAACTGGGAGATCCAAATCCCTTTATTTGGATTTATCTCATTTACTGGATATATCTCACTTAACCCCTTAATGATCTAAAATTGCAAGGAAGTAAGATTGGAAGATTAAATGAAAATAGCACTGAAAACTGCAAACCCCAGGTGCCTGCAGGGCTTTAATGGGATTAATGTGCTTCCAGTAGCTTCTGCAGAGCTCAGCCTGCACAGTGTGTGAGCCCAACTGGGGCAGGGGAAGGAGAGAACAGCAGGGGATGACTGGGGGAAAAGAAAATCAAACCTGAGAGGAAGAATGAAAGCAAAGATGTAAAAAGGAGTGAGAACTTAAAGCTGTAAGAAATGCAAAGTGCATCAATTCAGATTGATGCAAGTGCAAGCAATTCAGAGCTACATTTGCAAAGCCATGAGGCAATTAAAAAAATGAGAATTCCAGTGTGATTTTGTGCTGTAAACACAGGCAGGGGGAGATTTACCTGCTCTGTTTAGCTCTGGTTTGACCAAAACCAGAGTTTGGATGGTCGTGTTAAAGGAAGATACTGGCAAATGTTATGACCAGGAAAAGAACAAATATTGCCAAAAGGCTGGTTAAGAAGTGTTGTCTGAAGTGGGAAACAGAGGAGGAGAATGTAATTAAACAAGTCACCATGGGAATAAACTATGTGGCCTTGCATTTATCTGAGATCACAACCTTGTGCCTTCCTTATCCCTTCACGAGGCAGCTCAGATGAGTGTCTGGGCACAAAACCCTCTGTGCCCTGCTCAGATGCTCTGCTGCTGGCTCTGATTTTGGGCAGGGGTCCCACTGAGGAGACCCTGACAAGAGGGGGCAGAGGAAAGGAGGCTCACACAAGTGGCCAGGCAGCAGCAGGGTGACCTGGGGCACTCGTGTCCCCCCAGACCCCACTCACCCCTGGGGGCTCTGCACATTTCAAGCCTTACCTGTGGAAGCAGCCACATAGGTGTCATATTAATCAGCGCCTTAGGCTGGTTACTTTGCCTTTTTTCCTTTCTAGTTTTTTTTCTCCATGCTCTCTGCTCTAAATTTAGACCTTGTTTAAATACCCCAAGATGAAATGAGCATTTTTTTTATTTTTTGTATTTTTTTTTAAATTTGTTTTTGCTAACAGCATTTTAAGCCCTCATCAGACAGAGTGTTCTGAGCAGCAGGAAATTCAGGGCACAGAGGGAAACACCAAGGGAGAGCAGAATGCACAGGAAACAAAGAGCACTGCAGCGTCTTCCCACTGCCTCTGAAGCCGTGGCAAGAAAAAGAAGAATGAATTAAAAAAAAAAGGAAAAAAGGAAAAGGAAAAGCAAGTGAAAGCAGATGCTCTGTTTGGGGAGAGCTGTGAGCAGAATGGAGCTTTCCTGTGTGCTGCCACAAAAGCACCCAGAGTGAAAGACAACTTTATCTCCCCACTATCAAAGGGTTAAACTTAATCCTTTACATTCCTAGTCCACCTGAAGGAATTTGATTAAGAGAAAGGGAAATCCCATTTTAAGAGAGATTAAAGCTTTTTGTGATAAACTGGCTGCACTAGAACAGCTTTTTGGGGGAGGAGGCTTTGCTTTGCAGGGAGCCCCAGGAATTGTGGTGCATCCAGAGGCTGAATAAATGATCCCAGTCATTCTGGCAGTCTGTGCTGCACAGACACTCGACTCTGTGCACATCCAGCAACATCATCTGTGCTGCCAAATCCTTTGTGTGCAGCTGGAGATGCAGTGCCTGTTATAGATACATTTTATATTGTTGGCTTTTCTCAAATATTAAAATGAATGTTATGTGTATAAGAATGGGAAATTTTGTTGTATTAATATAGTTTTCTTTATTTCTGATATTGATGAAATTTAGAAATA